TATATATATATATTATATATATTTTTTTTTTTTTGCAGCAGCAGCAGCATGGCCGTGCTTTGGCTATACCACTGCGGTTTAAATGAGCCTGGACGCTGGTAATTGAAATAAGGACCCCAACACTGCACAGTAAGAGTGCTAAAACTCTATGGAATTAGTGTTGCAAGTGAGAATCCTTTGACATGATAAAATGCTGTCATATCGACACACAAATTCAAGTTTGTAAAATGCAACACTGTATGTATACATTTAGTACAAGTTCATAAAAACATTTTTTTTATTCCCATGTAATTTATCAGTATTAGCTCATGAATTAGTCTGGAGAATGTTTGCAGTACGATTACATTTGAGTTATGTAATACTGGCTATAAATAATAGCCAAGACTATTACACTGTACATGACATTTCCTGCGTATGATAATAAAATAACTGTTAATACCGATGAGTGCATGGATTAAACACATACTTTGTCCGTCAGGAGCTTGGCCAGGTTCCTCTGCTTCCTTCCCAGATACTGATCATATAGCTGGCTCAGCTTGTTGGCTAGGACATGCTCTCGGCTGAAGAGGGGATGATGGGTAAACACGATCCCAGAAATATCTATGTCCAGCTGAAACTCTCCGAGTAGTCCCCCCGATCCCACCATGTATTGGCTGGATTTCTTAGACGGAATTGCCTGTGAAAAAGATATTTAACTCAGCCCCGGACTAAAGTTGCATGATATCGTCTAGGAATCCTATACATTGTGATATTCTTGGAGGCAAGAATGAAGAACTGTAGCAGTTTAGACAGAAGTGTTCTAATGTTGGAGCATTCAAGACTTAGAAATATGGAGTCTGATGCAACATTACCAGCCTAGGTGCACAATTATGGCATCCGACTGGTGGTTGCAAGCCTGGTAGGGGGATGCCTAGAGGGAGATTTATGGCTTTCCTGGAACTTTAGGGGAGACAATATTGTACAAGGATGAGATTGTGGTGAGAGCATTGGAAATCCTTCCACTCCCAATATATATTCTTTAACTGCCTTTGATTGACTGATTCTGGTACTCTGCATCTTTCTGGGAAGCGCTAAAGAGATTGGCTGTAACGGTTCACATCAGGGAGCGGGTGGGGGGTGGATTGGTTGTAATTATATTGTAACAAATTTTACCTGTGCCTGGGGAGGGGGAGGGTTATGGTCAGAGGGTTAGTTTTAATGGACCTTGCATGGTCCTTTACGTCTGTTGGCATACGTTATGCCGTAATGTATACACTGTTGTGTATGGATGGGGTGCTATGTTGGTGCCCGAATGTTACTGTAATGTAATTATTTACTATGCAAATGAATAAAAAGATTTTTCAAAAAAAAAGACTTAGAAATATCCAAGACTGAAGGATCACTTTTGGATGGAATGACTCTTAGAAAAGTGTTGCCTTTTATTGGTATAGGATGTTTTGGGACAACGCAAAGGTCAAGTGGTGGCATATGACTGCTACTTGATTTGCAATGGGTTACTATATGAATAATGGTAATAATTAAAGTGACATTAAAGGCAAAAAAATACCCCCCCCAACTCTAATGTAAGGCCTTACCTTAAATGATGACTCCTTATCCGATCATCTTCTTTCCAGTAGTTTTCAGGAGTTCCTCCAGCGCTGGTGCTGGTCTCCGATCTAGGGCTGACTCCTCTCTCTTCCTGGCACTTCCTGTCCCACGGAGTCTGTGCGGGTCTCCCGGCCAAAGATCTGAACTGCGCATGCGCCCGCTCCCGTTATCATTTGCGGCCGCCCGAGAATCTTTAGATCTTCGGACGGGAGCGTACGGCGGAGACACAAGTAAGTTTAAACTCCTTTGTTAACATTTCTTTTATGTTCTTGCATATATCTACTGTTTGCTAGCAGTAGATATATGCAAAAAAATGCAAGGCTTTAATAATCCTTTAAGTCTTGTCTCACACGTACCTTTAAGTATAGGGTCTCCAGTGCTGGGTCTAAGCCTTCATGCAGAGTAAATATAGGCGGTCTTGTTGTTGATGTTTTTATAGGATTAGGCAAGGCTAAAATGTTTCCATCATCCCCAAACCATTTCTTTCCCTGCGCACAAAAAGTACAAGACAAATACAATGAAGAATATAAAGATAACAAGTCATACCCAGCTAATTCCAAATGACTAAAATACACAGATCTGGTTATTACGATCATCCAATAGCAAAACAGACACAAGTATGAATGATGAGGGATGAGAACAATAACTAATTCAATAATGAATATTAAAGATTGTATTGTATTTTAACAGACTTTAGAAACTGCATTAGGTAACAATGAGGGAGATTTACAAAAATAGGGTCTAATTGTGTACATTCTTGCACTGTAGCGCAATTTACAAAAACGTATGCCCGTACCATAATTTACTATATATATATATATATATATATATATATACTGTATAGATATATATATATATATATATTTTACAACAAAATGGGTATTTTATTGTGTCTTGGGGCACTAAAATTAACTTAAGTGCATTGTTCAATATATTTTTGGGTTTGATAAAGAGTTGCACCAATATCATGTCACATAAAAATTTGCAACTGCCACCATTTCATTCTACAGGGTGTTGGCTTTCAGAAAATATATAATGTTTTGGTGTAAAATTTAAAGTAATTTTCAAATGTAGATTATATCATCAAAACGGGAAAAAAATGGTAATGAAATAATGTACTCGCCGTCTTGTTACTTTAATATACAGAGCACAAACAACAGTCATCTTGTGCTGTAAATATCTGGAGATATAACATGAAATATTTATGGGCGCATAAAAGCAAAATGGCGGGAGTCTGAGGAAAGTGTGCCTTTAATATGCACAAGACCACTCCAAGAGGAATGCAACACTGTCAATTTACTGTATGCAGTATATCATTCCTTATTATAATATATTGTAGGGGGTATATTATTCCTTAATATAATATATTGTAGGGGGTATACTATTCCTTATTATAATATATTGTATGGGGAATATTATTCCTTATTGTAATGTATTGTATGGGATAGGTGATTTATTATAATTTATTGTAAGAGGAACAGTATATGTTTTTCTTATTGTAATTTATTGTTATATTTCATTGTCAGGGGTATAATATTCCTTATTGTAATTTATTGTAGGCAGAATATTATTCTGTATTATAATTTATTGTTGGTTGTATATATTAATTGTAATAATCCTTATTGTAATATAGTGTATTATTTCTTACTCTAATTTATTGTAGGGGGTATATTATACCTTACTGTACTTTACTATAGGGTGTATATTATTCCTCATTGTAATAATAAACCAGAACTCACACTTACAAATGAACAGAGACTGTGCTGCACAGAAACTGAAGGTCAGACATTATGAGAGAAAACACAAATTGGAAGATACTGAAAGAGCCCTGGGCTGAATACTTAAGACAAATGAGTCTCTATAGGCAGTACAAATAGCTACTGTACCTTGGTATGCTCCAGCCACTGTCAAGCAAATTAACCTACAAAAGGTAGTGTGCTTTTGAAAGAGTGGGCTACTGATATTGCAGTGATGGCCAGGGCTTGTTGTGGAAATGGGCGGATTGCAATGTATACTCAGACCATATAAACAGTGTGTTTTCAGATCAGAATATGTGTTCAATTTCAGAAACGGTGTGCAAAAGGTACTACAGACATTCAAAAGAAGGGGTGTAAAATAAGTCAATAAGTTACCCTAAAACAGAAGACTCACCCATGTTAAAGAAGAACTCAGAGAAAAAAAAAGGTCTTAACCCTTGCAGTGGGGCTACCTCCCGGCAATGTACTGCAAGGGTTAAGTACCGATTTTCGTCAAGGAGCAAAAATAACAAAGTTATACTCACCCGAACCTCGCAGCCAGCTGTTAGACTGGTTGCCGAAGTCTCTTTCCCCCTCCGCTCCAGCGGTCTGAGGTCCTGTAAGTCATCACATCCAATACAGTGTATAGGACGTGAGGATGCTGAGGGGCATTCTAATGCTGGAGTGGAGGAGGTGCCAGGCTGCAAGGACTGGTCTAGGAGCCAGCTGGCTACAAAGTTCAGGTGAGTATAACTTTTTTATTTTCGCTCCTAGACAAAAATAAGCACTTAACCCTTGCAGGGTGGGGGTAGATAATTTTTGTCCAGATAAATTCTTTAAAGAGAACAGTAAGTGAACCATAGAAATAAGTACAGATGGCCTTATTAAATATCCTTACCGCATCCTGCTGAAGTATCCTGTTCTCCAGAATGTTCTTATTGGTCCGGGAGACTTCTGGCCTTACACCGACATAAAGACCCTCATCTTCTAAGTACCGAGGCTGCATATTATCAGGTAGCTTCTGAGAAGGTGGCACTGGTTTTATTGCAAAACAAAACAGACTTGTTACTAAGACAAAATACCAGCCAGCGAAACAAAATAAAGACTAAGGGCCCGTTCACACCAGATGCAGTGCGTTCCGGCTCGATTATAGCCAGAACGCACTGCCTCGCATTGCGGCCGGCTCACTTTTTTGTGGGGCAGGAGGGGGCGTGGCGGGCCATTGAAGTGAATGGCACCAGAGCCACGTGCTCCGGCCGCAATGCGATCGGCCACACGGGATTGCAAGCCACATTACGCTTGCGGTCCGGTGCAATCAAAATAATGCTAGCTATAAGTAGTTGATACCTGTATAGATAGTATTCAGTATAGGAATAAATTTTTTTTTTATGTCACGTGCCTTCATTAACATTTTCTCCACATCTGCACGCAGCCCAAGATGACCAAAAAAGTAACAGTTCCAGGCACTTGGACAAACTATAAAACTGCCAAAGGTGCTAACAAAGGTTGACTTTTATTTGTGGTTTAAATCTTTTGTCCAAAAGAAACAAAAATGTTGCTGTGACGGTTTATAAAGGGTTAGCTGGAATAAAGCATTTATTTGTTTGTTACTTTTTTAGAGTTTATCTGAGCCTATCCTGTCCACAGGGTGACAAAGCTGATTTCAGTGAAGAACGAACAGCTTTGACACCCTGCTGAAGGTAGTTGAAAATCCAGGGATCTACCGGCAGGATCATAACCTCATTTTACAGAAGAGACTTAGGCCTTGTTCACACCAAATGCAGAGCAGATCCGGTCAGGTTTCTGCACACACACACTAGTCTTTTAGACGCGTTTTTGATGCGTTCAGGCTCTTTAAGTTTAAAATGGGCTTTCAGTGTGTTCCAGGCATTGGCATGCGTTTTTGATGCGTTCCAGAGCAGGTAAAATAGGGCCTGCTGCAGTTTTTTCACCTGCTCTGGATCTGCTCTGCAACTGCACGCTGCGATGTGAACTGGAGCAAAAAATACCATTGGAATACATTGGACGCAGTTTTGATCCGGTCTGCACCTGCTCTGCTCTGGATCTGCTCCGCGCTTGATGTGAACAAGCCCTTAGTAAACCGTAAATGATGCGTTACTAACATTGACAGACCATTGGTTTTACTTTTACCATTCTAGGGACAGCAGTGTTGGAATGGTTTTCAAAAAAATGTATTACAACAAATGCTGCTGATTTAGAATATTTCCTTTTTCCGATTTAAACTGTGGATGCGATTAACATTTTGCTTTTTGAGTTAAAACCAAATGTTGCAGCAACTAGCATTTTTTTTATATATGAAGGGGAAAATCATGTAGATTAGGGATGTTCAGATACCAGTTCAGATACCGGTGCAGATACTTGGCATTTTCATGAGAACTACCAGGGTTGCAGCGGTTGCAGCTGGGACCTGGCTCTGGCACTCCACCACTGTCCTGAAATCATTAGTCGATATTGTTTTAGAAAAATTGTCACATGACACTAAACAAAAATGTATCAGTACTCATACTTGGGAAAAATGGTATCGGTGCATCCCGAATATATATTTATAAAAACAAAATCGTACATTAAAACAGGGATGTACAAATCCCCAGAGCTCCGTGTGCTCCTTACAAATGACAGCTGACTCCTAACTTCTGAATTTTTCTCTAGTCTAGTCTCAGAGCTGTAAAAATATCTGTACTTGGTATCTGAACATGCCTATTTGAGATGCCATCTGCCAATCTATGGCGAACCTGAGCCCAGCAAGATAACATGATGGGGGGAATTGATCAAAACTGGAGCAGACAAAATCTGAAGCAGATTTGCACTGGAACCAATCAGCTTCTCTGTCTTATTTTCAAATCTTACCTGAGCAAACTGAAGAGAGAAGCCGATTGGGCAACTGCTCCAGATTTTGTCTGCTCCAGTTTTGATAAATTCCCCCCTATGTGTCAATCCCATCATTTGCTTCTCCGTCATCGGTCAGGATCTGCTCTCACCATAAACCTTAAAGGAGAACTATGAGGCGCGTGAAAATCACTCATCCTCATATTTTTCGAGCCTACGTGTGACAGTGAAACTGTCACACGTCGGCTCAATAGATCGGGAAGTGAGGGAACACATACCAGACGGGAGGACACTAGTTTATGTCCTCCCATGACCCTTAGGAGAACTATGGGGAAAAACACTGACCCCATAGTTCTCCTTTAAGGCTTATTTGAAGATGAATATGGAACCAGTCCAAATATCTGTCAACTGATTAATAGACAGGATTTGGATTGTTTATGATCATCTGCATCACATCTGTACAGGATGAACATATTCATCTAGTAGGTTATATATCAGACACAGCAGATTGCACTAAGACCTCTAGTCAGAGGGAGGGGGTAGGAATTTCTCATAGGAAAATAATGCCATTTATAAAAGGACATTTGCTGTTTCAGTTGTGAAATGCCTGTGGAACTACCCATCTCTCAAACCTTGTGCTCACAAACAATTGTCTACCAATCTTTACTAGGGCACGGATTGACTGACAAAATTCTTTCAACGGTGACAATCTGACTCGTTGGATGGTTACCTTCACCTGTGAACCCCAAACCAATTTTTCAGTATGTTTGCAATCATACCTCAATGTATACGGTTTACCTAAGCAAACAGTCTTGTATGAATGTGAAAAGCTTCGGACCTGGAGTTCTTGCCAGTAACCACACTTCCTGTGGTAGGATGACAAGACAATGCTAAGTCTCTGCCTTGCATTTAGCAGCAGTGGCGTCAGCCTGTCATGCGCACTCATTCACTGCTTATCTGATATCCAGCCCAACAGCCAACAGAAGGCTGCATATTGCAGGCTGACAACGCTGCTGTTAATTGCAAGGCATAGGCTCCATCTGAAAGTACTGTTGCTGTCAGGATCTTCAAGTCAGAAATTTTTTAACAGGTTCACAAAAGCAATTTGTTTAAGAAAATATAGAAAGATACGATTCCAAACATACTAATAAATAAAGTATATGTAAACCCAAAATCTAACAAATGTCAGAATCCTCATAACTTTTCACTACATTGCGTTATGCAGCTAGGCAAAAATGTTCTTAACCCTTGCAGTGGGGCAGTGCTCATTTTTGTCTAGGTGCTATGAAAAAAAAAAGTTATACTCGCTTGATCCTCGGAGCTGGCTTGCTCTTAGACTGGTCTTTGGAGCCTCCCCCCTCCGCTGCAGTGGTCTAAGGATCCTTGATTCATCATGTTCCACACTCAGTGTATAGGACATCAGGAAGCCAATGGACATACCATCGCTGCGTCAGAGGAGGAAACCGACTTTTAGGAACTGGAGGAGAGAACAGGCTTTCAGGAACTGGAGTAGCAGCCAGACAGCTCCAAGGATCAGGTGAGTATAACTTTTTAACTTTTTTTTTTTTTTAAACCTAGACCAACACGAGCACTAAATCCTTACATTGCCAGGGGGTTAGCCCTACTGCAAGGGTTAAGAACACGTCTGCACGAAGTTCTACTTCAAGGTGTATATGAAGTTAAGGAAAAAGAAAAAAGTATACAGTGCCTCCTGTTGTAACAACTCAAGGCATGCTGCTCACCGCTGCCTTTCAACCGTTTTACCATGCGGCTGGTGTGAACCAGCCCTTAAAATGACACTAAACTCAGGAGTTAAATCTTAAACATGCATTCAAGTACCCTAATTATTAACAAAAATGTATCTTATTTGTGCATCACTCAGCTGTAGATCCTCAAATCATCTCTGAATTGGTGCTGACACTGTCCTTCCTTCTGGAGGGTGGCTACTTTTGTTCCCCATGGTCCCTGTGTGTGTTGTAAAGTAGACACCACTACAAGATCACTCCCGTGATGGACTAATATCTCATGTTTAGTTTACTAATTTGTATTGAGATTGTAGTCTATCACGGGAGTGAGCTAGGAGTGGTGGCTACTTTACAACACACACAGGGACCATGGGGAACAAAAGTAGCCACCCTCCAGAAGGAAGGACAGTGTCACCAGCAATTCAGAGATGATTTGAGGATCTACAGCCGAGTGATACACAAATAAGATACATTTTTGTTTATAGTTAAGGTACTTGAATGCATTTTTAAGATTTAACTCCTGAGTTTAGTGTCCCTTTAATAGGAGGCATCTGCAAACAACCAAATGGTGCAAGTAGGTATGCATTAGCTTATGATGCAGGTAAAAAAGATAAATACATGTTGGTATTTGCAATCTCCAGGACTGGTAGCAAGTCAAAATCTCTTTAGAAGGCAGGCAGACAGGTTTAAACCTTGCTGCTCAACCCACATCAATTTTTCTTTCATTGCTGTCAGTGTCCTAATGGAGAAATTCCTCCTCAGAAAGGAGTGAGGTTTCCCAGTAGCACACTTTATGGTAAACAGACCTCTGTAAGTGTGGTTGTTGCTGGCTCCATCCATAATGCAACATGTCCGGCCACATAGGGTCCCTTTTATAAAGGCAACAGTGACAAACACATGCAAGTGTAGACAACACTGAACACCCATTAGCAACTAAACAGTGGCACCATGTCCCACAAAAGAACACAAATACATAAATATCAGGCAACATAGCGAAAGAAAACAATACAGCTCCGCCATGCAGCAAAAATTAATAAGTAACAGAGTTAGGAGATTGAGTGTGACCAGGGGAGTTAAAAACTGGCAATTTAGAGGTTGACCAATATACAAGAAACAGCATGTCAATATATGTATTATTTAAGAAAGATGTTCTGGTAACATACAAAAGCACAACATATGCCAAAGGACAGACAACTGACAGGGGTCCTAACCCTTCCCCACTATTTAACTTTGGTTGGAGCTCCATTTTAATCTGATTTGATATTCTCGATTCTAAATCAGGTCCTGACATTCTTTGGCTGGTCACAAGCAGATTGGACAGCAAACTTGGAGCCTGATAGCTCTGTAAGTAGACTTTGCCACTGGCCAAATCTGACTGAACCAGATGTTTGGAACTTATGCAAACCATTTTGTGTGCCGGGTGATAACAGTACTCTCTGGACACCCAACTACGTGAGCTACACTGGCCCTCATCTCTAAGCACATGTGTTTTGGCCTCACAGTCAATGAGGACATCGCTGACACAGCCTGATGTACTAAGGTGTGACAATTACCTTGTCGCAGGCTGGGTATGAAAAGGAGGTCTTTTTCTTTCTGTAGTCGGTTGTGATATCCTTCGTATTCGGCTGCAGTAAGCTCTATGAAGTCACGCGCTGTCTGCTCTATCAGGAACAGATCATCCTCTGGAACCAAGGACTTGTCTTCCTTCTGGAACAATGTCACTTATTCAGTACAATATCATCACTGTCACCTAATTAAATGACATTGATGAGCACAGGAAGAGCAGCTGCAATATAATTATGAACGTAATAGAATCATACGGTCGTCCTTCTGTGTATTGATTGCGATGACTACAATTGTATGTATGTGAAGCTGAAATGAAATGGCCTTCTCACCTTCTTGTGACTTTCATTCACCGTCTCATTCACACGCTCCACAACGTTTACTACATATCTTATTATTCATATCTTCTGGCTGGCTTCCACATTTGAATCAGTCAGGTTTTTACTGTTGTCTTTATTCCCACGGGGGAGATTTCCCCTTACTTCCTGTCCCTGAGGGGGAAAGTCCCATGGACAGTGAGTTATTGAGGACCTATTGGACCTCCGAGTTGTTTTTATTGCTCTCTCTGTCCTGGTAACTCCAAATACCCTAATTTCTTGTCCTGCTGTGAAAGACAATAAAAACCTGACAAAGACCCTTCCAGCTCTTCCCCGATTTGCTTAGAAAAAATGTAACCAACGCTGAGATGACAGCAGCCTGATCCACTACATGAAGTGACGGTTCTATGATTAGCTTCAGCAAATGCTTCAGCAAAAGACAGAAAGAAAGTGAGGGGGAAATCCAGAAATTTGGAGTAGTCACCAGAGCAGGGGAGGGGAATCCTGTGACAAGCTTCTAAAATTTGAAAATATTGTTTTCGTAGTGCATCTCTAGGAAAGGAAGTAAAGGAAAATGTCCCCAGTGGGACTCAGTTGCAGTAGGGTGGGGGTGCTCTCCGCACACCTTTCAGCAATCCCGGCCAGTACACAGGGATGGTGCTTGCAGTAACTCCACGGATGGCACCGTGCAAAACGAACAGTTGAAGAAATAGGTCACCAGCACTCAAAAGGTTTAAAAATGAATAAGTCCTTTTTATTGGACCATGGTGTCAGGACAATCGAAAAAAGCCGACGTTTCGGGGCCACGCAGGGTCCCTTTCTCAAGGCAGAAAATGTGATGTCCAGTGGGACTCAGACAGCAAAAAATGTATCCAAAAGTTTTCACTTTATTGTCTAATCAAGGTTTTAATCAGTGACCAAGTTGTATTGCTTAGCTGAACTTGATCACTGGCCAGGTTATATGTGTTTTTGGATCACAATATTTGCCGTAAAGAGTTACAAACCTTTTGCTAGGCAAGACAGATTACATGTATGTACTTGCAACCATACATAACTTTTTGTCTGGAGTTCAGCTTTAATGGCTAGAGTACAAAGTAGCAAAGAGCTGCAAACAATCACACACGATCAGCAAGCACTGTAATCATGCAGGATTAAATTGGCAATCTGCCACTATGTAATTAATCTAATAAACCTCAATTGTTTGTTTCAGATGCGATGAAAGATGACAATCTTGGACTGAGCGGCAGACTGGCAAGCTTAAATCCTGCTTTAATGATTCTCTAAAAGAATTATAGTGGAAGGGAAGGGATTCTGAAGTGCTTGGCCCAGCACATGGCTGTTGCAGATCTTGGGGGGTGATTACTCTTATTCCCCTACCCCTCCTTTTTTAGAAAGATTTACGTCACCCTACCCATTAAAATATATATCGGTAAAGTAAATGATTTGCATCGTCTTCTGCACATCCTTTCTTTCCTTAAGCAGCCGGCCCCAAGCTCTGTCAGTTATCCAGTGCAGTATGTTTGAAGTCTGAGCTCCCTCTGTTAAGCTTACAATTAGGGATGCACCGATACCGATACTAGTATCCATATCGGTGCCGATACAGAGTATTTGGAAAGTACTCGTACTCGCCCAAATGCTCCGATGCCTAGCCCGATACTTCCTGTATCAGGAAGCCGGGCAGCGCGTCATTACACGCTGCCTGGTTTCCAGATTGGCCGGGAGGCGGCTCCAAGCTCTCTCGTCACTTGTCATGAGAGAGCATGGAGCCGACTTCCAGGCCAATCATGAAGCCGGGCGCTGCATTCTGATTGGCCAAGAAGCCGGCTTCATGCTCCCTCATTATCTCATGACGAGGGAGATTGGAGCCGGCCTCCCAGCCAATCAGAAAGCTGGGCCCGGCTTCCTGATTGGCCGGGAAGTTGGCTCCATGCAATCTCATGATAAGTGACGATTGGCCAGCAAGACGGTTCCGGCTGGGTACCGGAGGAAGGCCGCTCCTGGCTGGAGAGGCCCCAGGGGGGGGTGGCAGGCTGGACATGCTGAGGTGAGAGGGGACAGACTTTCTTGTTAATCGGGAAGCCCGGTGGCGAGTCTTTACACGCTGCCCGGCTAATCAGGAAGCCAGGTGGCGAGTCATTACACGCCACCTGGCTTCCTGAATGGGACTTCCAGTACTCTGTAATTGGCATCGGCGAGTACCAAAAAAAAAAAATGGTTTTATTGAACAGGTACAACGGTAATACGCAGAGCTGCACATATAAAACAAAGAGAAAATTATTGAAGTGCCTTCAGTATAGTAAGATAGTCTTTCAAGGACTAATATGAGCGCGGCCCAATATTGCAATAAATAATGTTAACAGTAGAAAACTGTATTCCATTGCTGAGTATTCTTGAAGGTATAAATGACAATCATGTACAGTATAAGCAAGGTATACATTATATATGCTGCTGACCCATCTCCTAAACCTTTGGGATGCCCAGCATGCCCTATCTCCAGATCACAGCATGCATTCTTTCATATTAGAGGACTTTGACGACTATACCATACCCTTCCTTCCTCCCCTTCCTCTGTCTCCTCCTCTTCCACTCTAGAACTAGACTCTCCCACATCCTCCTCCTTTGCAGCCTCTGCCTTCTTCTTCTGGTCCTTTCCTTCATCTGTTTCTGGATCGGGATCAAAATTAAACGTGAAGAAATTGTACGACTCATCAGATGTGGGAACTCCATCAGGGACCTGAAAAAGATCAAACTAATTTGCTTTACACAATTCTTGCATTGACTTAACTTCAGCAACTGTCCTTCCTTCTGGAGGGCGGCTACTTTTGTTCCCCATGTTCCCTGTGTGTGTTGTAAAGTAGCCACCTCTCCAAACTCGCTCTCGTGATGGACTACAATCTCACATTTCGTTTACATATTTGTATTGAGATGTAGTCCATCAAGGGAGTGAGCTCGGAGCGGTGGCTGCTTCACAACACACACAGGGACCGTGGGGAACAAAAGTGTCCACCAGAAGGAAGGACAGTGCCAGCACCAATTCAGAGATGATTTGAGGATCTACAGCTGAGTGATACACAAATAAGATACATTTTTGTTAATAGTTAATGTAATTGAATACATTATTAAAATCTAACTCCTGAGTTTAGTGTCACTTTAAGGTTTTCAGTAGTACAACCTAATATTATGACATTTTTGTTAGAGGCGAAGCTTAAACTAAAATCACCACATCTTTTTCATCTGAAAAAAGGCTGATCAGACAACATATAACAAAAAAGTACTCTAGCTTGTGTGCATCTACTTCTACACCCCACCCTGCACTTGCAGAGAAGTCTTTTGATCATGGTAATATTATAGAATGAGTCCACGTCATGAGATTAGACATCATTGAAGTGATTTTGTTTTTTAGCTGCTCCTTGTGCTTTCATAGAGTTATTACACTTTGGAGAAGATTCACTCGCACAGATAGGAACATACATGAAACACAATGGAAGAGATTGTCTTACATGAGATTTTCCCTGAACTGTCCTGACAGCATCCCGGAACCTTACTCTGGATATCAGCTGTGCTTCAACATCCTTCACCTTCTGAAGAGAGCTGACCTCCTGCTGTGGAATACATGATGGAAACACATCATTTTCACAAACAGACCAGAATGTACAAATGCATAGATTGAATTATTCTATAGCTCTGACTTACTCCATGGTGCTTTATCGAGTACCTTACACATTGGTCTTTGTTCCATTGGTATTTAGAGTCTAATGCAGGGGGGGATGACTCCGGCCCTCCAGCAAGTCCCTTGAGGTATTGCTAGTCTGACAGTTACAGGCATGACTCCCAGAAGCAGAGGTGTGTTAGGATTGGTAGTTAACGCACTGATGGAGGGCCGGAGTTGCCCTATTTTCAGTAGGTTGTCACACTATCCATATATACTTGCTAGGAGTGTCTCAAAGAAATTTGTTAAAGAGAAAAAGAAATTGATTGGCTTCCCTCACAGCAGAGAAGATTCAGAGAGAAGACCACCTTGCACCTTAGGACACTAGCAAAGAAGAGCAAGGCATGCTGGGAGTGGGAGGAGTTATACAGGGCTATCTTTTTCTTGCCAGTGTCCAATCACCTGAAGGCAGTTGAATAACCAACTGGTTCCAGAATTACTAGTCTGTGTGATGTATGATTAAGAAAGAGAAACTGCAGAAGAGAAAGATCAGGTCCCCTCCTCGGCCAAGAGTGTGCTGTGTAAATCGCAGGACCGGTTGGGCTGTTCTCATATATGAATTTAATCTGTGTATTTACCTGACTGCCTGTAGTTCAGCTCTAAAAGAAAACGCCACCTTCACACAAAAATATACACACATTTATGTATAGAACTCCCCAGAAACATTCTATCCTCCTTGTGTGATTGGCTCACTTATCATAGTAGTCTGCACTGAGCTGGAAGCCAATTTATAGAAATTCCCTATAATAAGAGTTTTATTTTTGTAGTAAAGACTTCCGAAGCTTAAGCTGTTTTTAACATAGGCTCCAATTTAAGAAAGTTTGAGAAAGCACATGGGATGGCCAGGACAAATTGTACAGAACAGATGCAGGCAAGATCTGGGCAAATGTTTGCAATGCATATATCTCACCAGGTAGAGATTGCTTTTTCTCAACCTTGAGGTACATGTCAGTGAAACACGAAAACTGCTCATTTAAACTGACTTGTGGGACACAATCTCTATCCTGCCATTCTTCTTTGGCCCCTGGCCATTTCCTTACAGCTCATCATCTGAATTCCTCTATATTGCAGCCTATAAAAATGGAGTTTAGTGTTTTCATTGATTCAAGAATCTTCTTGTTAGAGTCCAACAAAGCTTTGCCATGGAGAATGAGAGGACGGTTGCAAAATAGTCAACACTATGACAGGAAGCTGCATTTAATTTTATGAAGCAGATTAAAGTAAGTCATGTTGTGCTACCACAAGCGGTCTGTTTGTTATTCTTGATCATGCATTTGTGTCTTGGTGCATCCCCACATTTTACAACCACTGTATTGTGTATTTTGGTACAGCCCTTATTTAGACACTAGCAGCCTCTCCTTCCCATTTCCTTTTTTACCCTCTCCCTGTGTTAAGAGGGCTCTACACATGTGTTACAAGGCTTGATAAAGAAATGTCTTTCCACCTCCAACAAATAACAAATAACAAGGAAACATCATCCTTTGTGTTGTCGGGCTTGAATAAACGACATTGGGTTCTACTCTGAGTCATCTTGGTGAGTTGGACCCTGCCCGTGGTTACCATCAGCTCAGTATCTTATTTGTGCATCACTCGGCTGTAGATCCTCAAATCATCTCTGAATTGGTGCTGACACTGTCCTTCCTTCTGGAGGGGGGTTACTTTGGTTCCCCATGGTCCCTGTGTGTGTTGTAAAGTAGACACCACTACAAGATCACTCCTGTGATGGACTACAATCTCATGTTTAGTTTACTAATTTGTATTGAGATGTAGTCTATCACGGGAGTGAGCTTGGAGCCGTAGCTACTTTACAACACACACAGGGACCATGGGGAACCAAAGTAGCCCCCCTCCAGAAGGAAGGACAGTGTCACCAGCAATTCAGAGATGATTTGAGGATCTACAGCCGAGTGATACACAAATAAGATACATTTTTGTTTATAGTTAAGGTACTTGAATGCATTTTTAAGATTTAACTCCTGAGTTTAGTGTCCCTTTAATAGGAGGCATCTGCAAACACCCAAATGGTGCAAGTAGGTATGCATTAGCTTATGATGCAGGTAAAAAAGATAAATACATGTTGGTATTTGCAATCTCCGGGTCTGGTAGCAAGTCGAAATCTCTTTAGAAGGCAGGCAGACAGGTTTAAACCTTGCTGCTCAACCCACATCAATTTTTCTTTCATTGCTGTCAGTGTCCTAATGGAGAAATTCCTCCTCAGAAAGGAGTGAGGTTTCCCAGTAGCACACTTTATGGTAAACAGACCTCTGTAAGTGTGGTTGTTGCTGGCTCCATCCATAATGCAACATGTCCGGCCACGTAGGGTCCCTCTTATAAAGGCAACAGTGACAAACACATGCAAGTGTAGACAACACTGAACACCCATTAGCAACTAAACAGTGGCACCATGTCCCACAAAAGAACACAAATACATAAATATCAGGCAACATAGCGAAAGAAAACAATACAGCTCCGCCATGCAGCAAAAATGAATAAATAACAGAGTTAGGAGATTGAGTGTGACCAGGAGAGTTAAAAACCGGCAATTTAGAGGTTGACCAATATACTAGGAACAGCATGTCATCCTTTGTGCTGTCGGGCTTGAATAAACGACATTGGGTTCTACTCTGAGTCATCTTGGTGAGTTGGACCCTGCCCGTGGTTACCATCAGCTCAGTAGGTTGTCACACTATCCATACAGACTGAATCTCAGGAGGTTTGTGCAAATACATAAATTGGTGGTTGAGACAGAACTCATAAGCTTTGTGACATCCCTGAGAGTCTTGGCAATTCTTTATCTCCCTTATTTATTCATTTGAATAGAACTTTGAAACAAGCAAAGCATTATGAAAGGACCCCTAGTTATAATCACCCATGGCATGACAGAGATGACAATGGTCTGTATGTACCTACCTCGTCATCAGATTTTGTACCAGTATCTGCTGCTTTGGATCTGGGGAAGCTTCGTGGTGAGACACTCGGGGACTCTTGTTGGAGGATGCTTTGAGCTTTGGACTAAAGTACAAAACAAACATTACAAGGCGAACCGGAACCACATCAAACTTCTGCAGAATATCATTCTTATTACAGTTAGTTTGATAAACAGTGCTACATGTATTCAAAGTCAGAAAATAAAACATGTTTTCAAGCAGGTACAAATATACCCTCCATGTGTAGGTGGCAGATCGGAAAGTGTAATGGGAACTGTAGTCTTTATAATGTTTTTTTAGATGTGCAGTGAAAGTGAGAACTTTAACAAGCTGTGGACATTGGGCATGCTACACACCCCAAAAAATTGTAATCAAAGGACACAGGCCATCTGTGGCACCTTCTCCCTTCTGGTGCTTTTCCCTATTAGACCCCATTTACACATGAGCGCATGTAGAGTTTTTGGTGCATTGTCACATGCCCATTTATATCAATAAGCTACCCTACACACGACAAAGAAGTTCATGCAGCTATTTGAGCTGCAAGCATTGAGCATCTTTGTGAGCACCAAGACGTGCATTTTGTTTGCGAGTTTGGGATGCCATTACCAATAATGGCACCGCAAGCGCATTGCGCACTTTTCATGCAAGACTGCACATTTACGAGCACAGAGTGGGAATGGGGCCTAAAAAAAACCTTTCTCAACAGAAACCATCACTTTGTCCTGAATAAGTAAAGTGACAAAGTCACTTTAAAGTGAACCTGTAGCTTACTCACAATATGTAAAGTAATAAGTCTGCTTAATTGCAGGCACAGTAAGGCTCTTATGGAGGTCTAAACCTGTCCATTAACAAAGCATTTCATTCTTTTCCACGTGATCCTGGCAGCATTACTGTTATGTGACAATTCTGAGCATGTTTTATCAGCACTGAGCTCCGGTGGGAGAAACAAAAACCACCTAACAACCTGATACTTCTACTATGACAGGGAGAGACTACAAGTAAATAAACTAAAAGCAAGTAATCCCTGAGAGGTACACATTATTTCATCAATTCAAATGATCACACATGTTGTGGTGACTGGTTCTCTTACAACTACTGCTAACCAAAATACACTATCTGGCCAAAAAGAGAAAGTCACCGCTTAGATTTAGCTAAGCAAATAGGTAAGAGCCTTCCACTGGATAATTACTACAGGGTCAGCAATGTTATGTCACCCACAAATAAGGTCAGCTGCCTATGTGACTATACTGAATGGCCAGCTTTTTCTATCATAGTAACATAGTTACATAGTATTTGGGGTTGAATAAAGACATACGTCCATCAAGTCCAACCTATATAGGTCCACGCATCATAATCAATTATTTTTTTTCTTCCCTGATGCCACATTGGGAATATTCCAAGATGACAATGCCAGGATTCATCAGGCTCAAATTGCAAAAGAGTGGTACAGGGAGCATGAGACATCATTCTCACACATGGATTGGCCACCACAGAGTCCAGACCTTAACCCCATTGAGAATCTTTGGGATGTGCTGGAGAAGACTTTATGCAGTGGTCTGACTCTCCCATCATCACTACAAGATCCTGGTGAAAAAATGAATGTCACTCTGGATGGAAATAAATGTTGTGACATTGCATGAGCTTATTGAAACGATGCCACCCCGAATGTGTGCCGTAATCCAAGCTAAATATTAGAGTGTGTGACAATTTTTGGCCTGGCAATGTATAACACAGAAGAGAAAGAACAAGACAAGGAATTCTACTAACCCTTCCAGCTTTCAATTTTTCCCTCAGTCGCTCCCTCATGGAAGACTCAGTGGAAATGGACTTTGCCATCGAAGCATTTAGCGGAGGCAAACCTAAAACATTTGTAGCAAACAGAGAAGCACAGCGGGGTCTGCTTATTTATAGGAACTTCACACACAAGTCAATTATAAATCTAATCACTTCATTATTCCACTATTACAGTAATATTCCATCCCTCATACACAATAACTTTGCCCTGGAAGGCCTCCACATGCAATTAGTGTCAAATATGGCATGACATGACAATTTTTAGAAGATAGAAACAATATGAGCACAATAAGGAGAATTACATTTTTATTATAACCCGCATACATCTCTTTGTGACCACTACAATAGTTGTTAACAATAAATCACACATTTACAGCTCCAGGCCATTTGTTCGAGGTGGATCATGAGGAATACTTTTATCTTAGCATAGTAAAGGGAATTTATCAAAACTGGAGCAGACAAAATCTGGAGCAGTTGCCCATGGCAACCAATCAGCTTCTCTCTTTCATTTTCAAATCTTAACTGAACAAACGGAAGAGAGAAGGCGATTGGTTGCCATGGGCAACTGCTCCAGATTGTGTCTGCTCCAGTTTTGATAAATTCCCCTCACTGTATCTAAAACCAAAATCTTTTTTTTTTGATTCTGGATAAAGAATGGAAAGGTTAAGTCACCTTTTACACAGGCAGTCCTATCAGATGCCCAATGCTAGTCTATGGGCAGCCGTGTGTAAACGGCGTTTACACCCGGTTACCCCCGACTCTGGCCAGATCCAGTAAAACAAATGGAATAGTGTTCCCTTTCGACTGACCTGATCGTGCCAGATCGGGGTAATCTGATGTAAACGGACACATGTCTGTTTACATCAGATTCCCCATAGACCAACATGGGGTCCAGTCATTTCAGAGCACGGATTCCTCATGATCAGCCCGTGTGACCTACTCTGCTCCATCGATGGTATGTCCCTCAGCATCATCACGTACTATACACTGGGGGCAATTTATCAAAACTGGAGCAGACAGTTCTGGAGCAGATTTGCACTGCAGCTAATCAGCTTCTCCGTCTCATTTTCAAACCTTACCGGAGCAAACCGACGAGAGATGCTGATTGGTTGCCATGGGCAACTGCTACAGATTCTGTTTGCTCCAGTTTTGATAAATTCCCCCCACTGTGTATAGAACGTGATAACCCAGGGGCCTAAGACCACTGCAGAGGAGGGTAAGTGAGGCTCCAGGGACCTAAGACCACTGCAGCGGAGGGGAAGTGAGACTCCAGTGACCGGTCTAAGAGCAAGCCAGCTCAGAAGGATTAGGTGAGTATAACTTTTCTTTTTTAACCTAGACAAAACGAGCACTTAAGGGTCATTACAAAATTTCCCAGAGTTTTTCTTTAATTCTGTTAAACATTAACTCCACACTCCCTTGTCAACAATACACAGAGAGGAGGCTAGGTAGTAAAAGGGTATTAAAAATAGAAGCAGCAAATTTCAGTTGTATTTAGGTTCTTACTTGTGCTAAGGAACATGTAACAAATATAAAGTAGGTATCCTAGTTTGGTTGCAAAAGTGGAAATACACATTAAGGGTAACGTCCGATGGGCTTATACTACACCCTGTGGGGCATCTCAGTATAGAAATGAGTGGATATTGTTTCATTTTTGGAAACCGTAGGCACTCCACCATACCTGGGAAATAGCAACCCAGGGATTTCTACATTGGGCAGGTTAAGATTATATATATATATATATTATATATTTACACACATATATACATACACACAGAGCTCCTCTATGATAAAATGCTCCCTATAAAATGGCTAAGTGACTTCAGCCTTATGAAACACGCACTGAGGTGGTCCAGTAAATGCTCAGATAAGTCACATAGCTGTAACATAGATCACCACCCATATAAATCCTAATAAATACATATGTCCATGGGGCCGACAAGTAAAGCCAAACCTTTACTGGCTTTAGTTCTCTTTTGGGTAAAATGAGTACATTTACTAATGTGTTCATGTAAACCAATGTCAACACTACTGTCCGCTAGATGCTGACAGTGCAGAGCCGTACTGCAACCAGAATGGGTCCCAACAATATTCTCAGGATCCCCCCCACTGCCTGATTGACAGCTGACTCTGCCACTCTAGAGGCAGAGTCAGCTTTGCCCGCCCCCTCCCCTGTCGGTCCCTCCAATGAGTGCTAGAAGAATCCCTGCAGGGAGTGGAGACTGACAGCTACTGCTCTCTGCAGGGAGAAGCCGTGAGCTGTGTGAGCAGAGGTTACACAATCGCTCAGCTCTCAGGTTATAAAGCCGGTGTGACCTTTGCAGAGTCACATGCTAGCTCTAAGTATTGGAAAAAGTATATTTTACTCTCCCATATATTTTACTCTTAGGTCACCAGCACTCCAAAATCGTGATCAATGCGCCTTTAATGACGCATGTTCATATTCTCATGCAACAGCCATTACAGTGCATGATAATATGAACATACATCAATAAAAGTATATTGATCATGATTTCGAAGTGCTTGTGACCTCTTTGCACTGAGCGGCACCATCCATTTGCTACCGCAGCACCCACCAACCAATAGTGACTGATCAGTCAGGAGCGGGATGTGCTTTGGACAGTGCATTTTCAATACATTCCATCCAAAATAAACTAAGCTTTGGGCGGGAAGCTTTGTTAAAGTTGCACAGCATCCAACATGCCAATTCCTATACATTTGAGCATAGACATTAAAGAGATCTCATGCATTCGCTGAATATTTTCCTTGATCATTTGCAGGCTGTCTGTAAGAGGAAAAATGTGTTCAGAAATATTGTGGGTTCCCCTCTTCCTGGAGCTCCATCACTCCGCAAGGCCCCTCTGACTGACCAGCCTGAACGTTTGCAGAATTCACTATCCAAAGCTGAAAGTTTTTCTATTGCCAAACATTCCAGAGTGTAACCTTGGGGCTGTACTCACTGCGCTGTCCTTGTGTAACGCTCCCGATATCTTCCACGCCACTCGCTGCATCTCCGGCACTGTCTACCAGCTGTGACACCAAATACCAGATCATCATTGAGAATTCTACAAATACTTCTATTTTACAAATCGTTTACAATGACGTGAGTAAAGATTTCTGGATACACAAAGCAAGAAAAGGCTTTTGCCCAGAACAATCAATCACGTGTTTGCTTTAATTATCCATAATAGAAGTCACCAGCACTCGATATGTGCAAGAAGTAAGGCACTTTTTATTCAATCGTCACATTATTATTATTATTATACAGGATTTATATAGCGCCAACAGTTTGCACAGCGCTTAACAATATAAGGAAGACATTACAGTCACAATACAATTTAAGACAAAATGGTAAGGAGGGCCCTGCCCGTGAGGGCTTACAATGCGTCAAACAGCCAACGTTTTCGGGGCCACGCCCCCAAAACGTTGACTTCTATTATGGACTGTATCTGACACGGCGCCATCCATGTTGTCACTTCAAACACCAACCTCTTACTCAAGGTCTGTATGCTGTATGGAGTGCAGGTGATTTTGTATTATCGATTGCTTTAATTGTCCAACTTTTGAATTACCTTAAACCCGATCGCTAAAATCTCACATCATCTTCCGCATGTTAATATCATTTTAGAAAACTCTCTTTTAATCTTTTTCAATCCACGGCTTTCATTAAAGAAGAACTCCGGGCATTTTAAAAATGAACCCTTGTAGTGAGGCTACCCCTGCACTGCAAGGGTTAACTGTTCATTTTGGTCTAGGGGCCGAAAAATAGAAGATATCAACAAGAGACTGATCCTCAGTCTTGGGGTGGTCAGTGCTCAGCCATTTCCCCCTGTGCTCCAGATGTGGTATGTCCCTAAGCGTCCGTCATCGGGATTTAGACCACTGGAGCCTGGTGGAGAAGAGGCTGTGGGGACCGGTCTTGCAGCCAGGCAGGAGAAAGGCTCAGGTGAGGATATCTTCTTTAATCCGGCCCTAGACCAAAACGAGCAGGTGACAAGCGCTGCATGTAAACGCCTGCACACCGCATGTAATGGTGTATGATATGATACCATGTAGTTAGGAATCAATCATTATCCCTGGATGCATCGATCGTGTATCCTGGGAGAATGATTCCTAACTACATGTTATCATATCACATACCATTACATACGGTGTGCAGGCGTTTACATGCAGCGGTTGTCACCTGATCATTAACTTGAATGGGTGACAGTTGCCGCTTGTAAACGCCAGATTAGGGAAACTCTGTTCCTTTCGGCCGGAGCTCTGAGCTCTGGCCGAAAGGAACAGAGAGCACAGCCGGCAGCAGCTATGCGGTCTGCATCTGACAGAGATGCAGACCGTGTAGCTGCTCAGGCAAGTCAGGTACATGGTGTGTGACTGCGTACCTGACTTGTCAACTGGCTGCAGTAAAGCAAAATGCAGCAGATTAAGCATTCAAGTCATTACTTATGTACCCTGGGCACTGTGCAAATTCATTTTAAACAGTTATTTTGTAAAGTGGAGACATGATACACTGTATATAAAAAGGAAGAGACCAGAAGACTCCTTTTTCTGCAGTGGGAATAAGCAGAAAGCCATCATTCTCAATGAAACATACCGGTTTCTTCCTCCTCTGGCGTTGTGCTGTCAGGGTCTTTTTTAGGTTCTCCACCTGGGCATGATCCTCGTTGTCCAACAGCTCCTGTGGGGAACAGAATGTAAGGATGTTTGTTCAGATTTTGTCTCAGAGATAAGAGTGACAGCAGAATCTACCTTTGCCCCACTGATTGTGCTGCCATAATCCTAGGCTACAAAACAGCCTCTCAACCTTTTTACTCCTGAGGAACCCTTGATAACATTTTCAGTTTTTGGGGAACCCCTGCTAAAAATGATTATACCTACAAGCTCATGGTACATTAGTGTGATCAATAAGTGAAAGATTTAAAAGAATGTGGGAATAGCATATTTAACACCCAGGGTTGATTGCTTTTTCACCACTCATCTACAAAATGATTTTCAGTAATATTCTTGAAATGAAATAAAAAAAATACCTACAGAAAAGACAGACGGACAGTAAGGCTCCATTCACATCTTCGAGATTCTGGAGCATGTGTGATTCTGTATATGATCCCGCAATGCATGTTGCAATGTCAGATGTGTTGCAGTGCCATTATTTCCTAATGGCACCCCAACGCACCTAGCCATTGCATGTGCGTTGTATCACACCACATCACATGGTAACCTTTTGATGTGATATTTAAAAAATTGCACTCATTGTGCAATTAGGCTGCAGCACCTACGATGTAGAACAGAAGTTTATATGGAGGCTCAGAATTGTGTTCTCCAACATTAGAGGTCAGTAAAGAAGTGGGATTGGGGGTTAGGAAAAAATTGCCCCTGATGCACTGGTGGTCAGTGTAGGTGGTCAATGGTGGTCAGTGTAGGTGGGAGATCAATTTGCCATTGCTCACTGTTCATGGAACCCCTAGCAACCTGAAAATGAACCCTGGTTGGGAAACACTGCTACAGAATCTGCTGTGATGCCTAGATTAGACACTAATGTTATGTTATTAAAATGGAGTCAGACTCCAATATTAAAAGGAGAACTATGGGGTCAGGGCTTTTCCCCATAGTTCTCCTAAGGGTAACGGGAGGTCACAAACTAGCGTCCTCCCGTCACCCTAACCCAGTAGGATACGGCAGGCTGCATTTTATGAATGGGCCGTATACAATGGTACAGCAAAGTGTAACGGGCAGCAGATTGCGATATCCTCTCTCTGTTATAAATGACCCCCATAGTAGTACTGCATCAGGTAGCATCCTGCCTTCTGGTACAGGTGTCACAATCATTCACATCCACACAGGACTAGGGATTCTTGCAGCACGAACACAGCGGCAACATGTGTCAGTGGATGGCTCCATGTATGTGTACATGGAACGAATACCTGCGGGTGTTACTTGGGGCACGCTGTATGCAACTTTCACTCCTCCAGACTGACATTCCACCAAGGCACTTTGATATTTGCATAACTCTTCCCAAGAGCCAGCCCACTGCTTCAATCGGGACTGAGGGTTATTAAAGGAGAACTATGGGGTTAGGGCTTTTCCCCATAGTTCTCCTAAGAGTAACGGTGAGGACACAAACTAGCGTCCTCCCGTCACCCAAAGCTCAGTATACCGCAAGCTACAGCTGGTGGTATACTGAGACGGCGCAGCTGGAACGGATCCCGACAATTTTGTCTGGATCCACCCAGCTGCGTGAGTGACAGCTGGCTCTGCCTATCTAGAGGAAGAGCCAACTGTACCCGCCCCATCCCCGTCCGTTCCGCCAGTCAGCACTGGAGGATCGGACAGGGGAGGGGGAATCCCTGCAGGGCGCCATGAGTGACAGTCACTGCCCTCTGCAGGGATAGATCGACAAGTGAGCGAGCGCCGGTATGTGTTCGCTCACTTCCCGATCTACTGGGCAGACCTGTGACAGTCTCATTGTCACAGGTTGGCTCACATTATGAGGCTGAGTGAAAATCACTCGCCTCATATTTCTCCTTTAATATAAAGCAATGATGGCAGGCTAAGGTAGATCTGGACATTTTATGGCCCATGGGCCACATCTGGCCCTTTGACTGTCCCTGTCCGGCCTAAAGTCTGGACACGGACCAATCGCCAACCTGCGCTCGGTTATGGCTGGCTGACAGTGGATGTGCTGGCCTCAAAGGCTGGTGCATCCACTGCAAGCCATAGCCCAGCGCATGCCTCCTCCTCTTCAGCCACTGATGTCCTAGCAACTAATGCCGTCAGGTGGCCACCTCCTCTGCAGTCATGACGTCAAATGTTTTGCCCACAGCATCTGCTTTAGGGTGCCTCCTTACATTTGTTGTCCCCATCGGAGTGCCCCCTTACATTAAGTACTAAAAGTAAAGATGGGGACAATCATTTTAAGGGGAAATTCTGATGTGGACAAATAATTATTAGTTGTCGTCATCGAAGTGCCCCCTTACATTAGTTGCCCTCCTATAAGATTCCACAACAGTCCCACTTTCTCAGGTGGTCCCCTGAGAAAATGAATTACCCACCCCTGGCCTAAGGGTAGGGGTAGATAACCTTTCAAAAAGAGTAATAGAAGAGATGAAGTAAACTCCTTACTTGGAGAACATGAATTCCAAGCTTCAATGACCAACAGCGAGGCCCAGGCATTAAGGTAAGCTCTGAAGAAGTCTGGATTTGCACATATGCCAAAACTTGGGAACTCTCGGGGTGCTGTAAAGACAATAGTGGGCACCTCTTTGTTCCTGCACGCAGTATCTGCTGCCAGTTGACTAGGCAGAACTTCAGTCACATACAGCGAGGAGTAAAGTCATGTTTCACAGGGGTGTTATCGAGATGTAGATTTCCCAGGGATACATTTCCAAGGTCCGTCTTCAATGCCATGGAAAGCCAAGCGTGCCAGGAAGTGTCTAATCAGAGGTATAAACTGGATTCAGAAGAATCACAACCGGAAAATCCTTTTTTCTGCTGGCTGGCCAAACCGTCTAACGAGTTGCAAAGTGTGAATGCATTTCACGACTTACAGATGTAGAATAAGCTGTGAAATTCCATACGACTTTCATCATCAGGAATGACACCATTGCTTTCAAACCTCACCCAAAAATCTGTCCAAGCAGCTGGCAGGAGGAGGATGTTCTGGGCTTAAACATGGCAAGAGGTATGGAACTCAACGTGTGCTCTGACAGCTACAAATCTGTAATTGTGCCATAGAATTCCACATCAGGCTTTCTTAATGTCCCAGCATATACTATGCTGTGATAACATCAGCTCTGTAATAGGAATACATACTAGAGTCGCTTTTCATAATGAGATCAAATACTTGAAAAAAAAACCTTTTATGTAGTGAATGCTGCCTTCCATCTGGTCATCACTTTCATCAACTACCTGGATTCCCAGTGTGTTTTGCGTCTCTTTCTCTGCTGCTTGATGTGATGCAATCTCTATTTCTCAAGACTAAATAGCCCATAATGCATTGCTTCCAGCAAGCAATGATAAGGTTACATTGTTCAGATGTTGAGTTGTAGTGTTTGAGGAAGTACATATTATGAGCATTTTTAAAAGGTAAGGTTACAAACTTCTAGATGGATCTGGTTATTACCGTAGGTGTGGGATGGAACTTCAATATAGAAATACATTATTTTTAGTTTATGACCGTAGACACCCTTTAAAGCCTTGGTTCTCAACTGGTGGGTCGTCACCCAAAAGTGGGTCGCGACCTCGTACTCAGTGGATGAGTACTCTCCTTGTCGCACTCTTTACCGATATGTCCCTTGTAGTGGGGGGTGCTCGCAGTGACCGCGGATGGCGCCGCGAATGTCAGCAAAATTGTAGAAATGTCACCAGCACACCAATCCTTTTAAGATAGCAAAAGCTTCATTTATTGAAGTTTTTTGTCATATGACCAAACAAGCGCTTTCGGGACCGCGCAGGGTCCCTTCATCAGGCTTTAGCATTGATTTTGCATCGTACTCAGTGGGTCTCACACCAAAATCAAAAGGTACTCTCCTCCCGGCTTCCTGATTGGCCAGAAAGACGGCTCCATGCTTCCTCATCACCTGGTGACGAGGGAGCATGGAGACGGCTTCCCGGCTAATCAGTAAGCCGGGGGGAGGGGTGAGGCATTACACTCCTCCAGGCTTATTTTAGAAAAACTGTCACATGACAATAAACAAAAATGTATCAGTACTTGTACTTTTATAACAAATCATACATTATAGCAGGGATGTACAAATCCCAGGAGCCCCGTATGCTCCTTACAAAATGACATCTGCCTCCTCAGTTGTCACACAGAATATCACGCCTGTATTCTTGTTCCAGTGACAACTGTAATATTGTTGATTTCCCATCCCTTTCTATCCCGAGAGGGGTGAATCTCCCCAGACATAGACAACGATATAACCTAACAGGGGTTCTAACCCTTCTACACTCTCGCCAACTAAAATGAAGGTTTTTATGCCGTTTTGTTTTTTTTACTATTGACGATACCAGGGAAAGGCATTTTCCTCCCCCGAGATGATGTGCATGGTCACATGCCCTAGTCACATGTGCCAGAATTACAGGAAGTAAAGGGGGATTAAGTAATCTGCCCTTAGTAAACATGGCTACTGCCAGAAGACTGAAGAAAAGAGAAATAAGGAATGCACAGAATACAAAGCCGGCAATTATTTAGAAGTATTTGTGTGTAGATTGTCATTACTAAACATTTCTAAAGGTGTGTTTGTTGTTATTTTAAAGATATGGGTAAAGGTCCGCTATAAAAACCTGTCTTTTATTTTTTTGTGCTGCCTGTGTTGCACTGGTAGGATTTTCCATCACTTCCGGTTCCAGAGACACAACAGGAAGAGAGAGTAAATCTCCTCTAAGTGAGGGGGAAAACTTTTCATCTGCCGTACAGCAGAGGCATGTTCAGTTCCTTAGCCAAGCGCTGAGTAGCTGTTCTGGAGCACTTCAAGGCGCTGCAGCAGCTTCACTGAATACTTCGGCTGCACAGTGCTAAGCAAAATGGCGGAGGATAATATTTTTGACTAATAAATACAATTTTCCAATGAATATTTGGTGTGCTCGTCCTCCAAAACATTACATTGTAGGTTCCCACAGTGAATTATGATTTCCTCCATCAGGGTTCAGGCACCTTTCTCCAGCGCTGTCAGGTGTGCCCACAGTTAAAATGGCCGCTGGTGCTCTGTCCCTACCATCTCTGTCATACTCAGCGCTCCGCATCCACATCTACTTCTGCTGTGAGTGCTAAATTAGCAGTGCTGAGCGCTGACTTGCAGCACAGTGTTCAGTGGCGGTTTGCTAACTCAGCACTCGCAGCGGCTGAGCAACAGAACGTGCCTCAGGTGTAGGCAAACTCCGGCCCTCCAGCTGTGGTGAAACTACAAATCCCACAATGCATATGCCTCTGAGATGCAAAACTTCCGACTACATATACACCACCACAAAGGTGTCCCAAATGCCTTAGTTCCCCTCTTAGCAAGAAGCACTTCTCATTGGTCACCTGACCACGCTGACCAATGAGTGCTCGTAATATGCAAGCGAAATTCAAAATCCACAGCGCAGGGCTGCGCTGGACGTCCGTACAGGGTACAGATAGTAAACCTGTACCGCCGGAGGGGAAGGAGCATTCACCGAAAGGTAAGTTTAGCGGTGGGGGGGGGGGGTTTGAACGGGTAATTCTTTTTTCCCAAAATACTTGGGAAAGTGAACTTACCCTTTAAGGCTGTGAAACACTGCACGCGGAGCGGTGGCGCGATGCCATCACGCGCAGTGTGTCACGTTATTTTGTCCCTGGCACGTCAGCTTGCGAGAGCTCGCATAGCTGAGAGTGCCGAGATTAAAGATTTCATCTTCAGCCAATCGGCTCATGCGTCACAATGCGAACTCCATCTGGTTGTTACGCGCGAGCCGATTGGCTGAAGATGCAGTCAACCATCTGGCTGCACTCCGCTCACACACTGCATGCGAAGCTCCGTGCCTGACAGCTTTGCTTCGCTCTGCATGGCTTTGCATGCAGTGTGTCACGGACTTCAATGGCACCCTAAACGCACCTTGTTGCACTATGCCCCTTTCATGTGTGTAAAATTGTGCGTCACGTATAGGGCAGCGTATTCATTTCAATGGCAGGACAAAACACACGGCACCAAAATGGAGGGGAATTTATCAAAGCACGCAGACAAAATCAGGAACAGTTGCCCATGGCCCCCAGTCAGCTTCTCTCTTAAGCTTTGAAAATGACAGATAGAAGCTGACTGGTTGCCATCGGCAACTGCCATAGATTTTGTCTGCTTGTTTTGATAAATTCCCCTCCATTTTGGTGCAGTGCGTTTTGTCCTGCCCTTGAAATGAATGGGCTGCCCCATGCGTGACACACAAAAACACATGCCGTCGCAGCCGCACAATAGTGAGCGAGGGGCTTATTGAATTACCCCCGTAATGAATTTTTTTATTTGTAGTTTTTTGTACTTTGTAGAGCAGGGGTAGGTAGCCAAACGCTGGCCCTCCAGCTGTGGTGGAACTACAAATCCCATGAGGCATTGCAAGATTCTCACAGACATGACGCCCAGAGATGCATGATGGTATTTGTAGTTCCACCACAGCTGGAGGGCCAGAGTTTGGCTACCTTTGTTAGTGGATCAGGCACACTGTGCATCTGCTTATCTCACATATAAGAACACTACAATACTACAGTTGGTTTCTGTTTAGCTCTCACCTAGCAACAAGCCCCTCCCATAACAACAACCCTGTCACTGCCTGGGCGCACATGTGACAACAAAGGCTGTGTTAACCCCTTTCCTGCCGGCACAGACATGCCATTTACAGTGACAAGGGATGTGAACGTTATCACACACTATGACAGCACATAGCAGACTGACCTCCACGATCATCCTCTGCTTCTCCTCCGTGCCCCTCATGGTGATGATGCCAGGTGGTGACCTGTGCCAGGCTCGATTCACTGGATCCCAAGGATCAGTCACAGGGATCTCATAGCTGCACTGAAAGCGATGTGATCGGCGATCCTGCTAATAGAACACATCCCTCATCCACAGGCTGTACACACAACACTATCACAGCACGATGTGATCTGAGATCTCCATGGCAGCAGCTCCCTATCTGTACTGTACACACTCAATGCGGGCGGCCATTGCACTGACAGCCCCGCCCACTCCCAGCGTCCCTCCTGTGTCAGGGAAGGGGCTGAACAGGGAGATGACTTCCTGTAACTGGGAATCATTCAGGGAGCTTCTCATCACAGTCTCCATCACAGCTCCTATTACAGACATAGCCCTAGCTCAGAGGCAGGCAGCCTGGGCAATCCAGCTGTGGTGGAACTACAAATCCCATAAGGCATTGCAAGACTCTGGCTGTCACAGGCATGCCTCCCAGAGACAGAGGCATCATGGGATTTGTAGTGTTACCACTGCTGGAGTACCACGATTGCCTACCCCATCATTCTGCTGATTTATTAAACTGCTTTCTAATCTGTTTACAGCATCTTTTTTTTTTTTTTTGCCGGGTTAACCTCTTCATAGTTTGAGCCATTTTTTTCAATTCACACATACTAAAATGCACATTTTCTACATGAGAAGATCCCAAAAGTGTTTGTGAAAGAAGAGACCCTGTGAAAAGAAATTGCCTCAGCTGCAATGTTTTATGTGACACGATATTTGCGCTAGAAATCTTCATTGTCATAAAACAAAATACACAAAAATTCATTTTAATACACACAAACACAAATACAAACACAAATATACTACCTGATATTTTTTCATACAATCTTAGGGGCTATTCACACCAAAATGGTAAGGAATTCGCAAGTGTGATTGGGGATAGTTCACGCCGGATCCATTGCATTACGTTGCGCTGGAAAAAAGTATTGCATGTTCTGCTTTCTTTTCAGCGTAACGTAATGCAACACAATGGAGCAGTGTGAACTAGCTCCATTGACAGCCATTCATTTTTCGTTGGCCTTCTATTAGCATCCATTGAAAAACGTATCGCAACGCAATGGATCTGGTGTTTATGGGCCCTAAAAGATGAGGTTACATAGAGTAGAAAGACACCAAACACGTCAAGCCTGAAAACTGTGTGCAGCAGCACTACAACAAAAAACTACGGTAGCCAAAATTGTCCATTGGTGGCCATAGGCCTCTATAGATAATCAAGTTAGAAGTAACCAAGAAAGATGGCGCTAAAGCTCCTGCTGGCACTACTGTGTGCGTGACAATACCTAAAATGTGTGGCAAAACGTGTTGTTTTTTAAACAAAATTTCCATTAAAAATTGAGAGGGTGTTTTTTAATCCATTGAACATTTTCACTGTTACAAGATGGCAATGCCCCCTCTGCCATAGCATTGTCAGGTGGCAGGTTCTCTTTTGATGAGACATCATGGTTTGAGACATCATGGTTCTGTTAGACCAGCTATGGCGAACCCATGGCACGCGTGCCACGGAGAGCATGCAGGAGCCCATCTGGTGGCATGTGAGCCTAGGCAGGGGTGTCGAATGTACTCGCAGCCTTCCCATTTCAGCTGTCATAGGAGAGCCAGAACAGCGCTGTGCTAAAACTCCTGTATTGGACGTGACAGGTTCAATAAAGAGAGCCTGTCACCTCCAAATGCTATCACACAGGGGCTTGTTAGTCCCTGTGTGATAGCAATAAAGTTAAGTTAAAAAAATATTTAAAAAAAAAGGGGTTCTAAACCCTTCAAGCAGTAGATATAGGCAAAAGGTTTTTAAAAAAAACAAAAACGCTTTAACAGCGGTTTACACTCACCTTGTTTTTGCTGCGCGCTCCCGTCCGAGAAAACGAAACTGCTCCGGCGGCGCAAAGCATCTTGGGCCGGGCGCATGCGCAGTTCGGATTCTCGGCTGTGAGATGGGCAGAGACGCAAGGTAAGTCTATGGATGCGGGCACCCGCATGCAGACACCGCTGGATCGGAAGTGCCTGCAAGCAGAGAGGAGTCAGCGCTGGATCGGAGAGCCGCTGCACCGCTGGAGGGACAGATGAAAACATCAGGAAAGAAGAAGAAGATCGGATTAAGAGACATTATTTAAGGTAAGTGCTAACATTAACATTGAGGGGAGGGAAAAAAAATATCCTTTAATGTCACTTAAAGGAGAACTATGGGGTTAATGCTTTTCCCCATAGTTCTCCTTAGGGTAACGGGAGGACACAAACTAGCAGCCTCCCGTCACCCTAAGCTCAGTATACCGCAAGCTGTAGCTCGCGGTATACTGAGATGCCGCAGGACACCGCGAGCTGCTGCTCGCGGTATACTGAGACGCCGCAGCTGAAGCGGATCCTGACAATTATGTCTGGATCCGCCCAGCTGCGTGACTGACAGCTGGCTCTGCCTATCTAGAGCTGGCGGATCGGAGCGGGGATGGGGGAATCCAGCCCCTCCCCTGTCACGGCAGAGAGCCGTGACAGGATCGAGAGGTTCGCTCACCTCCAGATCTACTAAGCCGACCTCTGACAGACACTCTCATTGTCACAGGTCCGCTAGAACTATGAGGTGAGTGGAAAAAAAAAGTGATAAAAAATAAAAGATAATAAATAATGAAAAAAAATAAAAATGTTTAAATGTTTGAATATGTGTGTTTCCACAAACTTATTTTCAGTGTTGGCACTTTGAGATAAATACAAGAGTCAAGAAACAAATCGCATATAAACACCGCACAGATATGCTGCTTCTATGTAAAGACTTGGGGTTTAGTGATCTCAATGTCCCGACGAAGTCTTATGATGAAACATGCAGACGAGTGGGTGTACGTTGAGATCACTAAACCCCAAGTCTTTACATAGAAGGAGCACATGGGTGCGGTGTTTATATGCGATTTATATTTGTTTCTTGACTCTTGTGAGTATTTTTTACCTTTTGATAAAGTTTTTTTTGGACATACTGCACTATGAATGTCCACATTTATTCCCTTTGAGCTATTTTTGGGTCGCTTTCTGGACCTCCTTTATGAGGAGACCGGAAGTGGAGAAGTCGTGGGGCTTTTATATCTGTATAGAGCCGGAGATGGTGGTGTTGCTTAACGTCTCTCACAGGGATTGTTGAGAGGCAGATCGACAATTGGATATACCCCAAGCGAGTTTACAAAGGCTATCTGGTGAGGGCGCACCTTTTCTGTTAATACACGTGGAGTACCGAAATTATTATAATCTCAGTATGGAACATTATAATCTTCACATATGGACATATTGATTTTTTGATTATCACTTTTCACTTTATTTTTTATAGACATTGTAAGAAAAATGACACGAAATATGATTTTTTTATGTCATATTCCTTTTCTCGAAGCATAGGATGGGAAAAGTTCAATAATAGATGATTGATTTTCAGGACGACAGAGGCTGTGTGCGTGGCCAAGCGGTGGATCGGTAAGTATCATTGATATTTACCGATCCTCCGTGTGCAGCACAAACACTGGAGCGATCGTCTGATCACTCCGGTGTTTGTAAATAACTGGGGACACATAGTACTATGTGTCCCCAGTTATGAATGAACAGGCTGTTATTTACATCACGTCCTGTTCATTCATGAATTTCTCAATGGGGAGAAGCACTCAGTACAGAGGCTTTTCCCCATTCAGAATGTGCTTGATAGTAAATATCAGCAGTTTTTTGAATGAATAAGAAGCCTCTGTACTGAGTGCTTCCCATTCTGAGCCTGCAGAAAAAGACATTGAGGAATCTGTGTCTTTTTCTATTTCAAAAGGGAAATGTCAGGGGTCTGTTTAGACCCCTAATATTTCCCCGAAGCCCCCCCAACAGTAAAATAATAATAAATAATAATGAATAAATAAATTAAAAATGTGTAATAAAAAAAAAAGCTCCACCCCCCCTCCCCCACACACACATAACGTACACGTGCACCATATTGTGGTGTACGCCAGGCACAGTGCGTTTTTAGAACGCATCGCAGCGCATTCTTTTTTTCTTTTGTAAAAAAACATTCATTTAACTGTGGCAGCGCATGGCAAAGCTTTGTGACGCATTGCCGTGCATTGTGATACCTTGTGTTCTGAATTAAATATACGCCTGTATCATTTTATCACAACACAAACACCAACACAGCGCAAAAAAACATTTATAACATAAACCGCTTATTTACAGTTTAGCGTTCCTTCATTTTTTTTATTATCCCCCTTTCCTCAGCCTCTCATTGGTGTGGCAGTATTAAAGTAAAGTGTTAGGCCTTATTCAGGCGCCATTCACACCAGGGCGGAAGTGTTTCACCGTGGTTTCCGCACGATTTTTGAAAGAGCATTTTTGGTTGTTTTTAGTCGCGTTTCAGCGATGAAACACAATTAAAAACGCTCAAAAACGTGCTGATCAGCGCATTTCTATTAAATTGGGGG